ACGAAACTAGCTCACAGTCCACCTAATGGTAAGTGGTTGCTGCGGCCCATAGACATCTACATCTATCCTCGATTACGAATCAAAATGCAGATGCGTTGTCACCCGTGAGGACTAAGATGGAATGTCTCGTTTCAAGTAAAAATGGTTTCCAGTTCTCTACACTCACCATACGAAACACAGTAGCATTAAGCTACTGTTTTAAGCCGGCATTCTGTGAGAGCGTGGTCCTTCCCCGGTCGAGCCGACCCATTCGTGCTACAACTATATTACTAATATAACTGCAGCATGGCTCTACTACGTATAAAATAACATAATAATGATGCATGAGTAATCGCTCAGTCGAATCGAAATGTGTTCTTATTTGAATTGAATCGATATGTCAGTAGAGCGTACGGGAATGTGGCGAGGTAGAAGTGCAGCCGATGAATTGAGAATTTGCATGCGTGCACGCGAGATTACACTGCGTATGCAAAGTTAATTAGAGCGTTGGCGAAACACGGCGACAGCTTTGTATAGTATTTGTAGTTTTACCAACGTGATAGAGCCATCCTACAGCTGGTATACCTTTGCGTAGCGTGATTACTTTATTTTATTGGAGCAAGTACTAAAGGTATTTTACAAATGTGGATACGTCAAAAAATTTGTTTAAAACAATAAAAATCAACATAAACATAGATCTTTTTGATCTTAGCGACGTCCCTCTCACTTTAGCGTTTGCAGCCGCTCCGCACGCCCTTGTATGGGGGACAGGACCGCCCCTGAACTTTGCCCTTTAAAATATTCAATTTCTATCACATATTTGCATATAGTTTTACATTTATTTATTGAATGTAAAAGTGAAGGATAAAAACTTTTGTGAAGCTGTGATATCTCAGGGGCTGAACCTTATATTATACACAATATACTACACTCACCGGCACGGAAACTTGGCCACTCGTGAATTTGCTGATTATTTGTACTGAAACGTTTTTTTAACAGTAAATTAAGGGTAGATGCATTCAATAAGTGTCTCTAATGGTTTTAGAACATAGAAATTTAATGTTTACTTCACCGAAATTTTTCTTTTCAAGATAACATGTTTTCACTAAAATTAACATCTTTCCATTGTCACTTTAAAAACACTACAAAGTTAAAAATTAAGTCTGTTTCTTTATTGTCTATCAGTTTTAATATCGGGTGTTTCCTCCTCTAGCCCTGATAACCGCTTGCATTCGATCTGGCATGCTTTGAATGATGTTTCTGACATCAACTTGCGGTATGCTGTCCCAAGCGGCCAGCGCTGCATTTCGGAGCTCATTTAGAGTTTGTGGCGGTTTGGAGCTGGACTTTATCTTTCTTTTGAGCATACCCCATACATGCTCAATTGGATTTAAGTCCGGGCTACGAGCTGGCCACTGTAATTTTTGTATTCCAACCTCTTCCAGATATTCCTCTACACAATGTGCGACGTGCGGGCGTGCATTATCGTGCATGAGGAGGAATCGGTCGTGTCCAATGAATCCCGAATAAGGCATTACGTGCTCCTGAAGAACTTCCTCGATGTATCGAGTAGCTGTAAGCCGATTATCGACTATGACCAACTCTGTACGTGCGTCGGAACTTACACCTCCCCATACCATTATTGAGCCTCCATGGAAACTCACAGTTTGGGTGGTGGTAATGGGTAGAAACCTCTCTCCTCTTTTTCTCCACACTCGTTCTCGACCGTCTGGAGCACGTAAAGCTATTCGACACTCATCTGTGAACAACACTCTAGCCCATTGCTCGTGGGTCCAATTGACATGTTCTCTTGCGAACTGAAGTCGGGCTACTCGGTGCTGTCTGAGAAGTTCTGGACCTCGTGCTGGTCTACGAGCTTTTAAATTCACTTCCTCCATTCGTCTTCTCACCGTACGCTCACTAACATTAACGCCTCTTGCGATTTGGAGCCGCTGGCGTATCTCAACAGCGGTCAGGTAGCGGTTTCTCAAAATCTCCATAACAATAAAACGATCGTCCCGGGCCAATGTGCACCTTACGCCCCCACTGCCTGGCCTGCGGGTGTAGCGGCCTGTCTCCTGGTATCATTTCAGTGCATACTGCATTGAGGACCGTGGTAGCACAAGCACAATAGCAACTTCACGCTGTGTCAGCCCTTGGTCAATTAATGCTACTGCTTGTGCAACTTGTGCTGGTGTTAATGGCATTTTTATTGGCTTTAAAGCACCTTTAGTTATTTAATTAAGACACAAGATCACAATAATTGAATAACCTTACAGTAAATTTTTCACAACACACAAATTTAAAATGTGAACTTAGTCGCTCAAATGACCCGATTCAACTAAAAATTAAAGAATTCGTCATGGTGCACTTAAACATAATGAATTACCCTCTTGAACTTGAGGGTAAACATTTTTTGACATACTTGCATAACAAACATTCATCAGAAACACTTAAAGCTTTTGCTATCGCGAGATAACCGCTTGGCCAAGTTTCCGTGCCGGTGAGTGTACAATATGTAATTCCCATATATTGAGCTGACATAATTTTTATCTTTCTGAGCAAATCTTCGGAAGTTCTGAATCGATTGTAATAAAACTTTACGAACAGGTTCAATGTCTAGAGCAGGGATTCGCAAAGTGGTGGATATTAACCCCTCGGAGTTCAATTATTCAGTTTCTCAGGGATCGACACAAATAAAAACTTATTTTGGGGATTGACGAGATCAAAAAATCGACCCCTATTAATTAACACAAGTTCTTATTTGAAACTTTCAAGATACTGTTTATACAGCTGTTCTTATAACTATTTCTTATGAACTTGTTTTAAGAATGACTAATATTTTCAGTTTACTCACCAAAGTTTTTTAAATTGGTAAGTATTTTGTATGAATAGGAAAAAAACTTGAGATAGGATTTTTAAAGTAATTTGGCTATGGGGGTCTAAATTATCCATCGAACTATATTAGGTACCTACTAGCGTATGGAATTATCGGTTCATTTTGGAAAAGGGGTCTCTTACTCACAATAATTTGGGAATGGTGATCTAGGGTATTCTTATCCGAAAAACTGTAGGGTTTTTTTTTGGAAAAACTTAAAATTTATAAAATAAATGTTCTTTGATTATCTTAACTTCTTTGAAATCTTAACATCGCGAAGCCAGGGCGGGTCGTAAAAATGTTTCGTTTGTACAGCGTCATCTATCGTAGTTCTCACGAGATTGTAATAGTTTGTAAGTTGTAACTACAACTGGTCGCCTCTGCGATTTTAGTTACGACAGATGTCGGTTCAAATTATTTTAAACACTGGTCTCTACCCAAGTACGCAGTAAGTGTATAAGGAGGTCAGTGATGGTATGTCACTGACATAGATAATACTCATATACCAAAGATAGATGCGCTACTCACATTTGAGTTTTCTAAGTAGTGAACCCTGCACGCTAGATGACGCTGTAGGCTTCAGTAAAACGCGGTCTTGCGGTAGGTATCGCTAGATGGCGTATTTTATGCAATGACTATCCTGATTATTTACAAAATGTACAATATTAATATTAATGTTTTTGTTATATAGTTGATAGTTAATTATTGGATATATAAGAAAGGTTACAAAAAAAGCACCGCATCGCCTAGCACGTGGTAAATCACCTGATATACTTCCAATTAACAATTTCATTGATGCCAGCGGGGATCGAACCAGGGCTACCCGCGTACTGTGGAATATTTAGTGAGAACTATCTAATTGACCTACCTACAAACTTTTCGTGTGACAAAAATGTCTAATTATTGGATATCTCCAATAATAATCCCAAATCTCCAAATGTAAATTTTGTAGATAACATTAACACTAATAAAGCTTGGCCTATTATTTCATATAAGATTTCTATCAAAGACGAATAAATTTGATAAATAATCATAAAACATCTTATTATTATTTTCACAGGAGTGGAATGAAAAGTCGAAAAATATTTTCGTTTTCTGAGTTATTGTATTTTCTAATATTCTTTGTTTGTGGTTCTTCAATCAATTGAGAATTATTAAACAATCTCATCTATGAATGAACATAATACCGATGGATACCTATTTACTGGACCTTTTTAATAGTCTCTTTTCTTTTTAAAATATAATTGAATAGTTATGCATTTTACACATATCATTTCTTATATAATTTTATACACTTATGAACTATATACTCAGCAACATAACTTTTAATTAAATTTGAAAGAACTGTGAACGAATTGTAAAAAATTGCTATGATGAATTGTCAATTCAAACTTTGTTTTTGTGGGTTCTGGATCATTAGGCAAGAACTTCAGTTTTACCTAATGAACGCCATCTTTACAACGCTTAAGAAAACTATCCTACAAGTTTATGTACACCGCTCACTGGAGGGCAGAACTTTCAATGCTTATTTTATTCTCGTTAATTTATATGGAAGTTTCATCCGATTTTAAAAGTCTGGGGAATAAAGGCTGCCACGCGAACCCGAGTAAATACCTGTTTTTTTTCTACAGGAGATTTGGAAATAAATAAACTTTTTAAAATTAAAACAATAGTGCTCATCGTCTCTTAATTTAAATCTGAACTTAACACAAAATGGCTACTTATTATTTAGGTTTGCCAGAAAACATTTTCCCATATTGTTTGAAAATTTCATTATCAGTCTATTCTATAAACTAAAATTACATCAAGATTGTATAAAATCCATAAAATTAATCCAATGAAATTTGTCAAACCAAATAAAATTTTGGATGCTAATTGTAGATACCCAGCAGTCTGTGCATTGCTGTTTTGCAGATGAAAAGTATAAAAAGTAAGGAGAACAATTCCCAGACTGACAGCAATTAGTTAAATAGTTTTAAATTATACATTACTTGAGGGTGTATCTTTATTCGGTTTGGGGTAGGAATTTATACTTATATAAGTATATATAAGTATAATAGTCTATATAGACTACTTATTATTTTAAAATTCTCTAAATAAAAAGGCTCTAAATAATTTTTGAAAAAAAAAATGCTTTTTCCAGGATGGCACCACTCCCCTGATCCTGTCAGCGGCGATGGGCCACACGGCGTGCGTGCAAGAACTACTGGAGCAGGGTGCCGACCCGGCCTGCTGTAGGACGGTATGCTACTCGCTTCTCTCCTTCGTTTTCAAGTTTTCATAAGATATTAATTATTGTATATTTTAATTAATAAAATTTACCACATTAAGTAAATTTTTTTGGTAATGCTAGCCAAAAACTTTTAATGGCATGTCATAGAGTTTTTTTTTTAATAAAATAAAAGTGTCAACGAGCACACATTTACCTGATAGTACCTAAGTAGATACTGTGGCGGATAGACATCAACACCTACCCTCGATTAAGAATCAAAATACAGATGCGTTGTCTTCCCTGAGAAGGTCCTCAGGTCTCGTTTCCAGTAAAATGGTCACGGGCTCTCCACACTCACCGTACAAAACAGAGTAGCATTGATCTGCTATTTTACGCTGGTATCCTGTGAGAGCGCGGTCCTTCCCCGGTCGAGCCGACCTGGAAACCATTCGTTGTAAAACCATAATATTACTGCACCATGTAATCTTTAAAGTTACAGTTACAGCCTAACTATATACGTCCCACAGCTGGGCACAGGCCTCCTCTAATTTCTGAGAAGGTTTTAGGAAGTGCCCGCCGCGCTGCCACAAACCCAAATTTTTCGAACTTTACGTCTTCAAATTTTTTTTCTTAATTTTGTTCTTACTTTTTCCTTCACCCTCGAGCATGTGATAAATCAGCACTTAAAATTGCAAATAACAATTTTGTTGATGCCGGCGAGGATTGAACCTGGGTTGCTCGCACACTGTAAAATTTACAGCGAGCGCTAACCATCTGAGCTAATCTTTATTATACCGCTTTGCAATGAAGCAAATTCAGTTTGCAGTACTGAGATACTCCATAAGTAACGCTACGATACGAATTAATCACGTGGTAGAGCCATTCTGCAGCTATATTATGGTGTCAGCACGAATGGGTCGGTTCGTGAGTGTAGAGAACCGGAGACCCTTTTTACTGGAAACGAGGGATTCCATTTTAGTCCTAAGGGCTGGCAATGCTACTGCATTTTGATTTTTAATTGAAGATGAATGTAGATGTCTATGGGCCACAGCATCCATTTACTATCAAGTGGACTGTGTGCTCGTTTGTCACCCTTATTCTATAAAAAAGGATTATGTAGTTTCATGCATTACAGTTCGCCTAATGAACTAAAATTTAGCTCCCAGAGACACTAGCCTCTAAAGAATATGATAATTTAAATATAATTATTCAAAACGACAAAGACATCATACCTCTTGCTAGCTTGATTTCCTCCTGGTAGTGTGGTGAAAGCTACGGATAGAGCAATAAAAAAAATTAGAATACATAATGGATGATGGAATATTCCATATTCGAATACCTTTTAGTAACTGTCGATTTTAAATTTTGTAAGTAAGTCAATTCTATTGGTATTCTGAATAAAATATAAAGAAACAACCAAATTATGAGCTAATGTTGCAGCCAGTATCGTCAACTCTCTTTGGAACTTTTTAGGAGTACTGGTACCTTAAAATTTAGTATGCACGTCGGGATTGCGATTACAAACTGCTTTACTTTAACTGTAATCATCTTGAAATTTGATATTGAAGTTGTGGTTACAATAAGTAAATGTTCTTGTAGTTATTATTTGCATTTAAATTAAAAACGAAATACTAATAGAGTAAGTATATTTCTCACGCGCGTACACATAGATAAATACACGCATCATATATTTGTAAATTATTCATATTTCATAAATAAGTTCCTTATCGCCATCGTAATTTGTTACTCTGTGTTTATGAAAGTGTTTATGTCAGACAGGAACAAGTGCGTTGTTCTTCGCGGCGCAGGGAGGATTTCTCGACATTGCACGGCTTCTGCTCGACGCAGGTGCGGAAATTGACGCACCAAGCTTGGTATGTTTCCCATTTCTTCCTGAAGTGCTTTATTGCAGGAATAATTAACACATTTATTTTCGTTCGAGGAAAATAGAAATATCCTTATATATCCCATATCCTTACCTTAGTTGTAATTTCCGCTACACCATTTTCATATAAAAGACTTATGCGTGTGGTTGTGGTGGCCGTGAAAGCGATTTCTATGTCTCTATAAGAATCAAGAAACTTGACTAATCTAAATGCTATTATAATCCGTGGCCATCAGAAGGAGACTGAAATAATAAGAATGATATCAAAATGGTTAGGCGCTCTGGCATTCATGATCAACAAATTTTAATAGTGAGACTAGAGTTGCCATCTTTTTTTGAACAAATATAGTATTTTTCCCAAAAAAAGATGCAAATATATACATAGTACTCTGTACTTTTGAGAAATTCGGGAGCAAAAAAATACACATTTATTTTTAATCTTTGTGTTTTTCCATACATATTTACATATTTGTTATTGCTCTTTGCTTTGGCCATCAATGATCTAACTACATTACCGTCTTCCTTACCTTTAAAATAATTATGGGAGTCTGAGCACTTTAGATTCATATTAAAATAAATTAACAATTAATTTTTAACTAGATTAATACATGCTCTTTTTCTTCCTTCTTTAAATTTTACATTCATAATGGAAAAAACTCTTTCCGTAAAACTTACTTGTTTCAGACTTCCAATCACAGTTAATTTAAAATAATGCGACAGTTGAATTAGGGATAAAATATGGTATTTTCGTACTATATTATTTTCTATAATATAAAGTACAATCGACTGGTGATGATGAATATAGTACGATACTATATATTATAGTACTGGTGGCAACCCTAAGTGAGACACCGTTACCGTTTACAGCTTATCAAAAGTTCACTGATGAATATCTCAGTCTCCCCATAGTCGCCTCGTAGAGGGGAGACTTGCCATAGCTGGCAGGCTTGGCAGGCGGTTGGTAACCACAGTTATTTTTAATTTTCAGTTGTTATTAGAAAGATACTGCTGACCGTCTCCTGGTTTGTTTCCCTTTGTCGCATGTCATGACACCCACGGGACGAAATAGGGTGGTGAATATTACTGTACCACCACAACACGGTCTATGAGACACTTGAACAGTAAATACCGTTCTAGTGTTGTGTAGCCCCCAAGATATATATATATATATATATATATATATATTACACCACCACAACACTGTCTATGAGACACTTAAATGGGAGATGGTGATATTATAATAATGAAACTGTCATGGTTAAGTTGGAACATATAACCATTAACCTAAATGATTGAGAGACATAATACCAAGGATAATTCTCAAAGCCATTGAACCTTAGTGATTCCATAGTCTTGGGATATTGCAATTAATAAAATAAAAGTAAAATTACGAAATTTAACGTACCATTAGCCAAGTCTATACTGTTAACTCTTTTTGCGTAGATCGTTAAACACTTCCGATCACCATGTTACAAAGGACTTGCAAACTCAAAACAAATTTTTGCTAAATATTTATTTGTTAAACATTGTTTTATTTTAATTTGCAGGACGGCGGTACTCCGTTGTTCGTGGCATGCCAGTGTGGACACCTTCCCGTAGTTGAAGAACTAATAAATCGAGGTGCCAATGTCAACTCGTGTATGAAGGTAAAATACTTTTAATATTTTAGTCTATTATTTCGTTTTTTTTTTTTGCTTGTGTTTCCTATATGAAAATGTTACCATAGGACCGCCTTTCTCTGCCCGTCATTACCCGAGCATAGTGAAGTAATATGATAAGTATTTTATAACTTGAAAGTTACTCAAATGAAGAGCATTACTTTATGAAACTTTAACTATGTAATAAATAAATTTCTTTTTTATAATCTGATGTATATCAAAATAGAAAATTTATCACTATGTTTTTCATCCCATAGGATTGTCTTTTAGCATACCCATAGGTATGCTAAAAGACAAATATGGGACACGGAAATATTTTATGTCGCCCGATGGACACCACTCCCTTAGGCCAAGTAAAATATCCAGTCTGGTGCTGCAATAACCAATCTTCCTGCCTGGCGATTATGGCAAATCCTGCCACCAACAACAAGGCCTCAACCTGTGTTATCGCAATTTTAAATATATAAAAAATAGGGGCCAGACACATTAGACTTTCAATAAAGCCTGGGAAAGTTCCATAAATAATGTACATAATGATTTTTCCAAGGTTGTTAGGTTTGACCTTGTAGAGCATAACAATTTAATAGGTAAACTTAAGTAATTCGGCGCTCATAGTAATACACTCGATCGTCTACTTTGTGAAAATTCATGATGGAATCCATTTTTGTTCCTAACTTAAGTTTAGCCGGGTTTGCCATTCCACAGAAAATGAAAGTAAAAAAGTGTCTTCTGCATATACTTCCACGGCATTTTCTGTTGCTTAAAATCAATACCTGACGAATATCGTCAGGTATACCTTAATCTCTGAAAACTAAAGTGTACAACCAGTGCGTGTTGCCAGTGATGACTTACGGATCTGAGACGTGGTCCTTCACTGCTGGCCGTATGAGGACGCTCAAGGTCGCTCAGCGAGCTATGGTGAGGGCTATGCTCGGAGTTTCTCTGCGTGATAGACTCAGAAATGAGGATATCCGCAGTAAAACCAGAGTAACCGATATAGCCCAACGGATTAGTAAGCTGAAGTGGCAATGGGCCGGCCATATAGCTCGAAGAACCGATAACCGATGGGGAAGAAAGGTTCTCGAGTGGCAGCCTCGTACCGGTAGGCGTAGTGTAGGGCGACCCCCCACTAGATGGAGTGACGACCTGGTAAGATATGCAGGAAGTCGATGGTTAGACAGCGGCCCTTTGCTCGTTCCTCTTTGTGCCATCATATATTTTATGGGCGCAAATGCACAAACGAACCTTTGCACCTTCAAGTTTTTGCCTAGGCAAGGTGTTCACACCTCTTGGCTGGGCGCTGACTGATTGCGCCGACGTAGCAGTTTTGTCACATAACTGTGTCGTCAGCGGACGATGCGGTCGTCAATTTCCTACGCCATTTTAATATAATATAAATAATAAATTTAGTTGGCATCTTTGACCTTGTCACTTTGCAGGATCACATCCTCAAAGGCAAGGGGCAAAGTAAATGTTAAAAAAAAAATTCTAACGTATTCAAAATTTTTGTTTTCATTTATTGTAAAATATCAGTGCAATAGGCTTCTACTCCGTTCACATGTTACACGCTATTTTTTCCCAGACGGTAAAAATTGTGATTCAGTATAGAATAATGATAGAATGGGAATTGAAAATGATTATTAAGTGTCGCGTAGGCTTCCTTAATAAAAATCCAAAAAGTCTAAATATTGTGACAAATGAGCACATTCCATTTGATGCTAAGTGGATATTGTGGCTTATACATTTATTCTCGATTAAGGATTAATATGCAGACGTGTTGGTCATCCCTGAGGACTAAGACGGAATGTCTCGTATCCGTTAGAAAGGGTCTCAGTTTCTTTATACTCAAAATATGATACAGCAGCATTAAGCTGCTATTTTACGTGGGTATTCTATGAGAGCGTGGTCCTGCCCCGGTCGAGCCGATCCATTCGTGCTACATCCATAACACTGCAGTGTAGCTGTCTGAATCCATATATCATTCACCTTTTGGGTGTATCATAACTTAGTCTCGTCGTTTCGCAGGACGGTGCGACGCCGCTGTTCATCGCGGCACAGAACGGGCACGACGAGGTGTGCTCGCTGCTGCTGGCGCACGGCGCGCACGTGGACGCGGTGCGCGCCGACCGCGCCTCGCCGCTGTGGATAGCGGCGCAGTGCGGCCACCAGCGCGTGGCGCGCGTGCTGCTGGCCGCCGGCGCGCACGTCGACTGCCTGCGCCACGTACGTACCGCACGCACACGTGCACACACATGTATACACCCACGCACACGTGCACAAACGAGTACACACGTAGCGCACGCACACGTGAACACAGTGAATAGCGGCGCAGTGCGGCCGGCTCAGCTATCCGAAAAGGATGTAACAATTACGTCGCTAAAATGTACAAAAATATTTCCGTTAGTAAAATATCTGAAACTTATTTGCTGACAGCTTTTTTAAGTGTTTAAATATTCTGCGACACATACATACATACACATAAACCAGCCATAAATACGCTTACGTCATCAACTCTTTGCAATTTACATTACAATGTGAAAGAAACGGTAAGAGTCCTTAATGTACTAGATGAAAAAAGTCCTGGTAGAGACGGAATGCCTCTCGTTTTAGTCAAAATATGCGCTAAAATTTTGGCTCCTCTTTAACAGCAGGTTTTCAATTGTAAAAAAGAAAACGTTTTCACAAGCCGTTGTAAAGTAGTCTTAGTACTCTCAGTCTCTTAATTGGGGGAAAGGCACTTATTGCTTTTTATTATTACTAACTTATTCACCTCAATAGTGTCTAATTTTGTTTATATTTTATTTCTCAACCACCTTTATTGCCAAGTAAGAACTCGATCCAGACGGATGTCGCTGCGGCCGCCTTGCTGACGGGTGTCTGCAATTTCTTCTTTTTATTTTGATGTCGGACGCGCTTCTTCCCTAGTCTGTGGCTAGCAGGACGTCCTCGATCTGTGCACAACGGACTTCAGTGCCGACGCAGTGCACTATGCTTTACCCTTACACAGTACATCACCTATGATTTTAATTGTTTGATTCGTAAGAAATGAAAATGTGAATTGATTTGTTACAGGACGGAGCAACTCCATTGTTCAAAGCAGCGCACAAAGGGCACGCTGCCGTTGTCGCGGAGCTCCTCAAGTATAAACCCAATCTTGGATTGTTGCCCGTGAGTATAAGTTACATATTTGAAAACTGCGCGCACTACGCCACTATTTCGTTTATGAGTAATTTTTTTAAGAAATGCGTACGAATGAATAATGAGGACTAATAATCTTACGCTCAGATGTCGCTAGTTCGGAATGAGGTGAACTTTTTTGTCATGACTTTAGCTAATTATTTTTAACATTTATATATTGAAGATGGGTGAAGTTAGGGGAACTCTTAATGATGATCTAAGCGTAGGTATATGGATTGTCTTAATGATGGTAATGTATGTGTAGGTGTATATGAATGTGAAAAACCGAAAGAGGTGTTTCAATGTCGTTCCAAATGGAAGTTCGTCCTGCGTATCCCTCTGGGTAACAGCGTCCATCCATGTATCAAAGCTATAAAAGTGCACTGTTGAACACAGGTCTGCACCATAGATTGCCTCATAAGAAGGATTTTGCCATAGTTTCTACTCTTAGCAGGCGGACTGTTGAAGAAACATGCTACTGTCCATCTGTTTAGAAGGTATATGTGGTTTAAGATATTTACTTTTCAAAGGAATTAAAATTCACTTACATGAGAAATGTACAACACTAACATAATTTTATATTAAACTGCACGACACACAAACAAACTGATAACAAAATAAAAATACACCATTTTTTATAGTCTAAAAAAAATAATGTTAAAAAGTTATGAGAACATAGTAAAATAATAAAAGAAGGCTACAAAGATTAAGATAAACATTCATGACGGTTACATTATTTGGTTCGATATGTATATATAATGAATAGAAGTTTATAAGTCACAGCATTCACTTACCACCAGATGGACTGTGTGCTCGTTTGTCACCCTTATTCTATGAAAAAGTCATATAAAAAGGTGAACCACTTTCGCTTCTCCTTTCCGAAGCTGAAATCCCCTCTCAGATCCCCTAATACCTCTTACAGAGAGGTTTCAGAGAGAGGCAAAACCAAATGAGACTCAAACAATAACCCTGGAACAGATACTCCTACGTATCCTTATTCGAATTTTCGCATTCGTCATCTCTCGCCTAGATTACAGGGGATCGTACTCCACTGCACCATACACTGTCCGAGGATGTTTGTAACTGTACAGTCAACTTTGTATAGCTCGAGGACCCTCTTTAGCCAGCCATGTATGACAGAAAAGTTCGGTTGCGTTTAACCCACTTGCCAATGACCACGTTAATGAGAATTGGTTCCTTGGTTTCACGCCTACCGCCTCGACATCCATTATGAGCGCGAGACATTACTTGATTTGAGTTCAGATGACGAGTAATTCCTCGCGCTGTAAAAGTATGTTAGTGTTTATATATAGTGGGTAGACATGCGATGGGGCGGTATTTACTCGGATTTGTGGTATCTTGAAGAACTCAATGAGTGACCCCAGAAGTGAAGAGGCTCGAGAGCAACTTCTGGTCTAGCGCTTTCTGAAACTGTCGGTCGAGCACAGCATGACCCCCGCCTACAACCAGTAGTAATGCAACACATCGAGTTCCAGACTTTTCTAGATTCGTCATAACTTCCGTCCAAGGGCCTTCGCTGAGGTTAAAGGGCTCTGATCACAGGCCGCACAAGAATGCAATAGTGTCGACCTGATTCGGTGATGGGCCCGTTCCGCTTACTATTGATCGCTCTTATGATTTATAGAGCCTGTTCTGTACATTTTGGAAGAGCCGATTCTGGTTGAACCGTGACTATACCAATCGGTATGTCGCTGAATCCGCTTTCCTCAAGCAGCGATTCGGAGCTTCAGGTTGTCTATGTACACCGTCAGATTTGGCGTTATATCTGGCCGAGATAAAATGACATTTGTTCTAGCAAACGCAATCCTGACGATGCGCACAATTCTTAGCCTGTTGTTGGTCGACCTGAAGCTAGTCTGCCGATGGCTCTTGCGTTTGGGATATGGTCCTCAAGGGGTGTACTGCGTTTCCACAATCGTCTCTTCCAGTGTGCTCCTCGTTTGGTCTTGTACCTGGGCGACTATTCCATCGTCCTCTGACTCAACTTTAACTAAGAGATCTAGGGCGGTAAAGATAAGATAAGATAACGCCGGGCTGTTTTCCGCAACTCCACGTCTAAGTGCGTATTTTGCGTGTGGGCAGGAATAATGCAATTATTCGAGCCATTAAATCACCCCGAAGAAGTTCAACAGTCCTTTGTTGTTGTGAACAACTTCGGGAAGTAATCCCGGCGTGCGAAAGCGTTATGTTGCAGCGAAATGTTGGATTTAGGGTAGCGATGTTCCCTTTCAACCATTCCACCGAACACTTCTGGTCGTCGCACTACAGCTTTAGGACACCGTCGTTGTAGACGGGTTTTCCTCTGAAAACTGGGCCTGACGCATCAGGGTCTTGGCTACTCCAAGCTTCACTGATCATCTTCCTATGGATACCTATGAGGATGTCGTCAGCTACTGCTTTTGTGATGTGACACACAATCATAGAATACTATAATACACAAAAGAATGGCTGTCAACCTTATTTTGTTGTAGCAGCAACAGGTCCGCTCGACTGAGGGAGGATCACGCTCTCATAAGATACCAATTTGAAATAGCAGCTCAATGCTGCTGTATGTTTTATGGTTAATGTGGAGAATCGGAAACCCTTTTTACTGGAAACCTGACTTGGTCCTCAGGGGCGAGAATGCATTTCCATTATCATTTTTAAATGGAGGTAAATGTAGATGTCTGTGGGGCCCAGCACGCACTTTCCATCAGGTGGACTGTGTATTTGTTTGTCGACCTTATTCTATAAAGAAAAGATCCCCCGGATTCCTGTAACGTAGTGAAGAGGGTTCAGAAAAAAAAATCCGGACTAGAACGGCATCAAACAATTACCTTGGAAGATATCATAATCCTTATTTGGTCTTCCGCATTCGCCCGCCTTGAGGATAAAGGATCGTATTCCATTACTCCCATACCACAAACTAATAAGAGTACTAACGTACAGACGACAATCTTCGATACTAAAAAATTGGCCTATAGCGAGCCTCAAAAATTGAAAGTGACATTTACGTTTTTAAATTTGTCTAAGGCAAAGGCATTTATTTGTTTCAGCCTAGTGGCTGTAAAAAATCCTCTCAGAACTTTGAAAATTTATTTTTATTGGTTTAAACTCATGTACGTGTTCACAATGTGATCACGTACACAAATTTAAACCAATATTAACATTTATTTAGATATAAAGAAATAAAATACAGAAATATTTTTACAAATGCAAGCAAATTCTTTCCTTCTAGGCGCAAAACATCAATTTCTTTTAAATATTGCCACATCCATTGAAACCTCTATAATTACAATCTAATTTTTTATCGAAGGAACTGATGGTTCTTTGAACATAGGACACATATATTCAATTCAAATGATGTAACAACTTTTCTCAAATTTTTCTCCTTGTAGTACCTATTTATGGTTTGTGCTTGTTGCTCCCCCATTTACCAAATATGCAGCAATATTCAAAGCTTAAGCTATTTAATAGCTGCGTGCTCCTAGGCAGTTTTCAACCTGCAACAAAAATAAAATTTATTTAAAAAAAAAGTAATAATGAGTTGATAAACATAGTAGCATTTTATTTAACATTGTGTGAGTATTTCAAAGGTTCTTTTTAGATACAATCAGTTACTAAGGGTAAATTTTTCAATGGTCACATATAAGTTATTTATAAAATAAAATCCAACATAAACAAATGAGAATTACAATTGAATTAATAAAATAGTTCAATTGTTTGACTACACATCAGCTTGTAAACAATCTACTATTGTACTTGGCAGATTAGCATTCACATTCTACTTTTTTGTCGCCAGTTTAGATATTAGATATGGCTATATGTTTAGATGTTCTGCAGTCTGTCGAACCTCCATAAGCCGTCCATCAATAAACACAGGCTAGTATACATAGGGCACAACCGTGTACCTCAATGGCTACTTTAATTTGCTTGTTTGTATAATAAAAAGATGTGAGAAAAGTATAAATAAATATTTCCCTATATTGATATTCATTGTGTCAATCCTCCATATTTTCATCAGTTCCAGAAGTAGATGGCATGGGCATTTCTGCATGTATCAAAATATATATTACTATCAGGAATACTGAAAATAGATTATATATAAATACTCTTTCCTCAGTTACCATCAGATTTGCATGAATTAGACATGGGGTAATATTCTATTCTAACTGAAAAAAATCTCACTTTGTAAATTCATAATAAGTATGCACCTTAAATGATCATGCATTTGAAAGAGAATTATCAGGAGTTCAGTCAAGTCAGTCATACACCATTTAGTGTCACTGCCACTGGTGTAACATATTCTGAAAAATTAAACAATTATTTTAAAAGCAAGATCCTTAATATATTATTATTAACAACACATCTTACTGTAGCTGGTCTATATTTCCTTTAAAAAAAAAGAAAATTAAGATAAAAAAAAGTCTACTATGACTGTTTAATTATACAAGCACTATATCATAAAATATTAACGACTGTTAATGATCATAACACTTTTTCTTTTCTATTTATAGATAACATCTATTAAACAAGAAATACCAAATGTTTTGACACATAAAATAGTTAGTAACTTTGCCTTCTTTTAAGGCATATGTTACTAACTAGTTTTGTGTTTTTGTAGTTATTAATATGGAGTTTTTTAATTTATAAATGAAAACAGATAAGATCAGATAATCATATAAATTAATTGATTACACCTAGTCTTTCAAATATTTTCATTTGAAATAAAGACTATTCTATGAGACATGCCAACTTTTTACACAATAAAGTCATGCTCTCAAGCAAAGTAGATATAATTTTATAATGTACATATCCAAGTAAATTATAATTTAGTACTGTAAAATACATGCCCGGGAATTAACAATTTTTTTGTTTTGTGATATTTATTTTATTCGAGCAGTATTTAGGTACAAATGTAAATGATAGTTTATACTTGTAGTGACACTTTGATATTGTCACCAAAACTTTCATATTTTTACACTGTAATAGTTATTAGACTACAGTGTATACAATATGTATATATGACATTACTGGTGTTCATTTAATAAAATTAATAGAAAATGATAATCAACTCGCCTGCTAAGTTTGAAAACCAAGACATATACACTACTCTTGCGGCAACTATGACAAAATCTTCCCTAAGTGGCAATCTATGGCGGATGCCTATAGTCAGCAGCAGGCTTTCATAGGATATATATTTATAGGAATAATGAATTAAGAAAAAACAAATAGAAAAATTACTGACCGGTCGTGATCTCAGCTTCTGTAAACAACGTGAGATATGCACCCTGGTAGAGCAGTTACTTTGATCTTTGATCCTGGTGAATACCAGATTTATTCGGGATAACAAATCGCAGCTCAATATGTCGGTAGCACACATCATCATCATCAGCCTGCAGCAGTCTACTGCTGGAAATAGGCCTCTCACAAGGCGCGCCACTTAGCCCGATCTTCGGCTACACGCATTCAGTTTTATCAGCCACCTAGCGCCGATCGTCGCTCCATCTGGTCAGGAGGCGTCCCACACTACGTTTGCCTAGACGCGGTCTTCACTCCATAACACATATATAATAATAAATAGCACACACATGCAACTTATTTTATATAAGTTCTTGAACTTAACCTTTGAATTTTTTACTAATTAACCTTTATGTCGTCGTGTAATGGCCGCGGTGCTTGCCGCGTCACGTGGTGTGGTGTGGACGGAAACGTCAAAACAAACGTCAATCTAAATCCGTAGCTACATATTTATACATTTGTAGTCAATAGCTGTCAACATCGATTTTTGAGGGCCATAGACATAAGGCTAGGAATATTTGTATAGAGATTACCACCCGTGTCCCATACACCGCTCAAGAAAGTCTATAACGGTACTATCAATTCGATGACGCTTATTAGCCATATTTGAAGTAGTAAGTAGAATGGCTCGTTATTTTATTATTATTATTACGCGTAGAACGGGCAGTCGGCGCTGCACGGCGCGGCCATGTTCGGGCAGCTGGCGTGCGTGCGGCTGCTGGCGCCGCGCGGCGCGCCCGCGCTGCGGGACGCCGGCGGTCGCACGCCGCTGCAGCTTGCGCGCGCGCACCGCCGTCACGACGTCGCTGCCTACCTGCAGGCGCTGCCCGCGCACGCGCCATCGCGCACGTCATGAGTACGTGTACCTACACACACGCCGCTGCAGCACACACATACACACCCCCATTCGGAAACCCACACGTACACCCATACGGACGCACCTAATGCCCACACACACACACATTATCGCGCATTCGATACCGATCACTCGCACTGACTTACTTCCGCTTGATACACATGCAACAAATGAGCGTACGCTGATACTAACGTATAACGTACCACGTGTATACTTGTCTGTAAATTTTTGGGTGTATGTAACACTAACACCAATACAAAACGTGTACGTGCAAACATTTTCTACTAATAGCGACACAACAAGTCCACATTCACGCACGCCCACACCCACGTATCCAATGCAAATACGTACACATATACACTCACACGCATTATATACCAATGATACACACATACAATGCGTGTACGTACACTCATACCTATGCGCCACATGTATGTACACGCTCACACATTTCTTACTACTTGACACAGGCACAACACGTGTAAAACGTCAATTAAAACAGCACAAGTCTCCCTTGTATTTTTATTAGATTTTCCCCATATTTCATCATACCAAATATATTAAAAATACTAAAACTTGAATAAAATTATACTAAGACACAATAGAAAACACAAATAAAAACAAATACGCTAAACGCGTTCATCGTTTATAAACACTCGTATAAAAAAATGTTTGAAATATAACAAGACTATTTTTATGATGTTATAAACAATAAATGTTACAAAATCTATCAAAAATACAAGGAAGACGTCTCACTTAAACTGCCGTCGGTCACGTTTTAAATGCAATACTCCGTACAAAGTGACTGACACGGCAGTCAAAGGTTTAAAAACCCATTCTCATTTAAAACTACCGCGAAATGTACACATGCACCCCCACCCCACAAACTCATTTCTTGTAGATACGATATATGTAAATGCACATCCATAAACCTACTCATGTGTACATAAAAGTACTGCGTACAGAATAACTACTTACCCCATTCCATCAACTCAACTTACCTCGCCCCGTCCAGATTTCATTATATATTTCAACTGCTCTTAAGCGAAGGGCTGTACGATGACGAAAGACGAAAAAGGGTCATCTAAAAATGTATGGTATTATACTTATTACGAAAGCTCAGTTGAATCTCAATTAATGTAACAATGTTTTTCTTTTAATAAACGACATATAACTCAGATTCAGTTTGATGAAAAGGATGTCAAATGCAATAAACTTTGTATAGAATATAGATTTAAATGTTTTCCCTAATATTGTAACATTTTTTTCATTCACAATGAAAATAAAAACTTTCAATTGAAATGCTTATTGCCAGAAATCTTAAGACGTTATTTAAATTCTTTTTAACCAGTATTTTTAGTTTTTTTGTCATCTAATGATATCTTTAAAAAAAAAAGATAAAGTAAACAGTAATTTAATTTTATACACACATCTTATATACGACCAGACTGCGAATGTAACCTTGATTTAGGGGCACTTACTTTACATTTTTATAAAAAATGGTTTGGTTATGTAAACATGACTTGTTACCTGGAATAGCATCCAAATATATCACAATGATGTATATACTTTGGTGGTAAATATGATAATAATTTGGTCAATTCATATTGGCATGACTATACCATTTCTTGCCATATAATGGCCGAAATAAGTATCAGGCTATAATTTTAATCAGATTTTATGAAATGTCATTTTGATTTTCCATTTTTTACACATTCATTTCTTCAGTCTTGTGAAATTGTCTATGTTAGAAAAAGTTTGGAAATCAATGTCCAGATTGATGGCATTGAGCACAAGGAAATGATAATAACTATTTTATAAATCATTTACAATGTAAAATACATTTTTATTTACTAGCCATTAGAACTGTTCGCCTTAATATATATACCTCATGTAGTACATATATAATATATTATATGTCATTTCCTGGAACATTTTGAAAACAATCAAAACGAGTTGAGTTTACATTGGTGCTGAAATAGCATAAGATAAATAAAAGTACATTTAAATTTGTACTAGTCATTATAGAACAAAATGTAGATTTGCCTTTTAATTTAGTTGCTTTTTTAATCTAGTGGCACATTACTGGTATGTTTATATATACATTTTAAATTGTAATATGAAAACAAATGTATGATTTACTTCTTAAAAATGAAATGAGAGGAGTTAAGGTCGAAACATACTATCAAAACGCAACGCGATGTGTTGTGTCGACACCCGACGCTCGTCGTGCATATTGGCAACACGCCACGCGATGCTACGACGAGCTAGATGAAGATTTTGAAGAAGATTTATTACAGATTTTGGGGATATATTTTGTACAGAAACAGTTAATAAAAAAAAGACGTACTAGACGCAGACGATACTGGGTTCATGAAATAAATCAAGACAGAGCTATGTACGGTGAATATACACCTTTACAAAAAATTGGTTAAAGATAGTGAGAGATATCATATATATTTTCGGATGAATGAAACTGAATTTGATGTTTTACATGACTTTATTAAAGATGACATCTACAAGAAAGGAACAAGTTATCGTGAAGCTATAAGCACAAAAGAAAGACTGGCAGTGGCTCTCAGGTAAGTACAAAACATTTTCTTTATTATCTATACCTATTCATTATTATTATAATTAATATAATATTTCAGACTTGTTTCGTCACTTTCATTTTCAACTTCTTCATAATGTGCTACATTGTCACTTACATCTTGATGATTCGTTACAAAAAAAATTGGTATTATTATTCAGTGTTCGAGCTGTTTCGGAATGTACTACATTGTCACTCACATTTTGAATATTCGTTTTATAAAATTGGGTTTTTGATGTTACAGTGTTTTTTGTATTTAGATGCGAAGTATTTGGATATTGTATTGTTTGGTTCCGAATCACACGTAGCGGCGTCCTCAATAGTTGTTCGCGTTTTTTTTAACATATTAATTTCGGCATCATGTATAAGTTTATGCATTTGAAACTTAATATTAACTTTGTCCATCTCAGGTAATTTTTTTTAATTGTTTACTCATGGACAGGAAGAAATAATCTGTTTCATCCATCTCTGACATTCTCTTTTGTCGCGCTTCTTGAGAAGATTTAATAACATTAACCATCACTGTCACAACATTGTCTTCATTTCCTTTCTTATTTCGATTTGATGAAGAGGTTGGAGTCGGAGTCCTTACAGAAGAAGAGCTTGGTGTCGGTGTCCTGACAGTAAAAGAGCTTGGACCAGGAGTTGCATTAAAACGAGATGATTCGGTTTCATCTGAGAATTGCAACTCTTGTGTTGAATCGTCAGTTACATCAGACAAGTTTGTGATCGTTGGTCTGCCCTCAAGATGAGATCTTAAAAATTCCATCTGTGCTTCGTATTTCAATGGTACAATATTAGTTGAGGCTTGGCCACTCTTCTTATGGCGTCTCTTAAGGGCATTGGTAAAACAATTTCTCAATTTTCCCCATCAATCTTTGCAAATCTCCACTGGAAAAAAATAAAGAACACAATAATACATTTATAATTGTATTTTTTTCTTTTGTTGCAGATTTTTAGCCACAGGGAATTCATTTCAATCATTGACATTCAATTATAGAATGGGATTCACCACCGTGCGAGAAATTGTAAAAGATGTCTGCGAAGCAATTTGCAACAAATTGGGCCCAATATACATGCCAGAACCCACCACCGCGATGTGGAAAAAATCTGAAGGAGGGTTCAGAAATTACTGGAATTTTCCTAATTGTTGTGGTGCATTGGACGGCAAACATGTGAATATCACTTGTCCAATAAATGGTGGTTGAGATTTTTGGAATTATAAAGGAGAAAATTCAATAGTACTCCTGGCATTAGTGGATCCTAAATACAAGTTCTTGGTTGTAGATGTAGGCTCATATGGAAAAAACAGTGACGGTGGAATATTCAATAAATCTGCACTTGGAGAGTCTTTACAACAAGGCAAATTAAGAATGACTGCTGATAAATCTTTATCTCCCGATTTGGAACCACACGTAATAGTGGCAGATGAAGCTTTTCCCTTGAAGTCGTATTTAATGCGACCGTATAGTAAGAATGATGTTCGCAATAATGAACCGAATAAAATATACAACTACCGGCTAAGCCGTGCTAGACGTATCGTTGAAAATTCTTTCGCCATTTTAAGAGCAAGATGGCGCGTTTTCGCCAAACCTATGGAAGTACAACCTGATATGGTGGACAAAATTATTTTAGCAACATGTTGCTTACACAATTATTTAGGTATTGATACTTTGCCATCTGACTGTCAAACACAAGATGATAATGAGACGCCATTGGGACCTACAGCTTTGGAGGACTTGGACACCTTACGCAGAAATTCTACACAACATGCTTTTTCTGTCCGAAATAAATTTAAGGAATATTTTAATTCCAACGAAGGTGCAGTTCCGTGGCAAGTAGATATTGTAAGGAGAGGAAGACAAAATACTTTATAAATCTGTGTTAAAGTGTATTTTATAATAAATTGAATTGAATAGCAGCTTTGTATTAATTTCAACTCCTCGACGCGTTGCTGAGAAAAAGGGTCTTAAAAGACAGACGGACGGACAAACAAAGTGATCTTATAAGGGTTCCTGTTTTCCTTTAGAGGTACGGAACCCTAAAAACAAGCAGGTACTTACTAATAAATGTATAATGAGGTACCTATTTTTATGATAAATAGAAACTGTATAGGTACTGATAGAAAATAGGTAAGTAAATGGGACAAATTACATTTTATTGAAAACTTACCTGTAGTATGCAATTGTTCTGCAATTTCTTCCCAAGCATTATTTCGAATACTATGATCACTATAATGAACTGAACTCATATCATATAACACTGAGTACCGTTTCACTAATTCTATTAACTCTTCATCCGACATTTTAAACCAATTTTTAAAAAAAAAACTAACAAAAAATTTCTTTTCTTTTACCATAACCTTAAAAATGTTCTCGAAAGAATGACGCGTGGCGTCGGGTGTTAACTAGAAACACACTGCGCTGATTCGTCGGGTGGCGTGTCCCCCCCCCTCTCTCCCGGCAACACTCTGATCCAAATCGATTGGATGTTGCGGCGTGTGGTCACATAGCGTGTTGTCTGTGCGCTTCTGACTATATTAAATATATGAAATTGATAAGTACTGACATGCGTCGGGTGGCGTGGCGTAGCGTCACGTTTTGGTAGTATGTTTCCGCCCTAATTTTCTATATTTTAAATAAAATTATAAAAATCTTCCCTAAATTTTCCTAGTAATCCCATGAAAATTGTCATATTTTATTTTTTATATATGTAGTAGGTAATAGTTACTGTAACATAATTACATAATAACAGGTTCCATACATTTCAATCATACATTTTAAACAATAATATTTTTGTACACATTTATTTTTAGCTGCCATCAGGTTTTTAAACGTAGGTTCCTAGATATAATGGTTCATATTAAATAGCTTTTTAGAACTTATCTATAAATAATAATTAAACCTAACCATCTAAATACAAATTTATTTGAATCTCTTAAACAAAATGGAATGAGTCTTACTTTTTGTAAGTAGTTTTAAGGATTTCGAATTATGATACCATTTTGTGTGATGTACAGTTTTGTATACTATGTAGGTTTATATCGGGACATGGTACGCTCAACCATATAAGCTTAAGATGTTTCTCGTTGTTTAGTCTCATGTTATTGCTATTTTTAGATAGTTGTACGTAACATAACTACTACGTATTCCTGTACAACACCAAGTCTCGTATAAGTTCATAATAAGCTTTTAAAACTTGGGTAAGATGTAACTGAACTGTTGTTGATTTTTTTATTTATGTTACTTAAATACAGTTGTTCTTGAACATTTTGCATTTTTATTATCCAATTTGGTATTGTTTCATAAGAATACAACAAGCCGGCGAAAGAAGAAATAATATAAAAATACGACTTTTACAGAGTTGCATTTGATAGAATATAACTTTAAGGATTTAGATTTCTTGTTTTAAAAGGAAATATGTATCATTATACTCATCTTACGTGGTACAGCTACAATGCTGCTATGAACGGGTTAGCAGTTAGGACCACGCTCTCACAGAACTAGTATTCGGTATATGTAATAGTATGTGATAGTGTTTCGTATGGTGGACACTCTTTGCTGGTAACGAGCTATTCTATCTTCGTCCTCAAGGTTGAGAACGCATCTTCATTTTTACTATTTAATGAGTATATTATCTACCAAACATACACTTTATATACTATACTTAAAAGACTATGTCTATAGGTCTGTCAGGTGGACTGTGTGATGTGAAATAAGAAATAATGCGTTCTGATCTCTCATCGATGCTGTGAAGGAGCCTTCTATCAACCATCTCGACTCTCGATGACTTAGGGAACCACTACGCAAACCATCCTACAGTGCAAGTGCACAATAATGGGAAAAAGGGTGTTATAAATTAAAAATGCATTGCTAACTTATAGATTCTTTATTTCAAACGTCTTTTACTGTCGTTGAGATATACCCAACAAAAGTAGCAAATAGTAACATTTAATAGATGGCAATATAATTAAAGTTATTGATAATCTCCTTATTCGGTAAACCTAACATATTTTTTACTATATTTATTACCGTTTATCATAATATTGTACCATATTTAAAGCTTTAACATTTATAATATAGAGCCAATTTTTATTACTTGGTGTATGAAATTGAGTTACATTAACCTAATGAACTAGTGTTAGTAGATGGTATGACTGCAACCAGCTGTTTTGTATTTCAAGTATTGTAAGTTTTCCTAAAAATATACGCATAAAGTTGGGTATGTACAAATAATTTCCTGGAGGCTTTCTGTCATATTACAATGAGACATTGTAATTCGTAGTAAATCTTCAAGGCAAGGGTGAAGAGGCTTGTCTTACACTAAGCACATTACGATTTACCCATTTTGGGCTTCATCGCCACCAGGACCAGGTGGAATTTTTCAAGCACGATTGAATGATAAAAATATGTTATTTTTTTACGATTTCTTTATTGGGGACAAGTGCAGAATAGAAGCTTAAGCATATTTTCCAATTTTTTTTAAATTATCAAAATTGATCTATTAATTAATAACTAATTTAAGCTTCTATTCTGTTAACTTGTTTCACCCTATTTTTTCCAGGTAGTAAACAAGCTGATATAGTAGGCTTTTTAACAATATCTGACACGGTTTAACAATTATCTATATGAAATAAAAAAGTAGCTGAATATGTACATTATTTTAGTCTCTTCTATACCTAATTACTTTAACCCATTAGAATAATCCTATATATCCTATGTAAATAGATAGATAAGGCATTAAATTGTTTCTCTAATTACACACGTCCACTGAATAGCATAAATTTACCACCTATATCATAATCATAATATAAAATTATATTGTAATAAGTTCATCAATGTCATTAGATACAATTAAAGTGAGGTTTTTCTAGTTAATGATCAATAAATAAAACTATTTCACTTCTGTATATTTAATACAGTGGGCCTACAACTACTACTGTTTTGTCACTAACTATTATTATATAAAAATATAATACAAAAAAGTAGACTTGCAACAATTAGTATATTCGGAAACACGCTGAATACCGATTAATCTGCGCGTTTCGTGGCCGAATGTTAGACGAAAGTATTCGGCCGGGAAGGACTACTGTTTTATTTTTTTTTTCAGAGCGGAATCTCGTAATCTGGAATTGTCTACTGCAAGAAAACTAGTAAACTACTGCCTGAAAATGCTGAAAAATTAGTCTTTTATTCACCATAATCTTCCACTTTAATTACGGTAATTCAAGTGCATAGACATTTATCTTAGTTTCTTTTTTATAATACGGAAGTTGATTTAGTACCTGAGACTACTTTAATGATTATAATCATTATTTTTATTTTATCAATTATCTGACTACAACAAAATCTAAAAAAAGTAGCTGACTAGGCCGAATACCGAATAATAGCCGAATATTCGTCGCAAGTCAAAAAAATAATTGAATTACTAAAAAGAGTTTGCTGTACCAGTATTGTAGCACACTGCTCGTAGGCCTTGCTGATACTAAAACTCACTTAGCGTAGGGCTGATTAAACACAGTAGCATCTCTGTAAGTCGAACCTCGAAAATTTGAAAACCTCGTCAACTTGAAAATATGTTTTGTTTCCTTCCTTTCAAGCTTCAAAACTTCCTTTACTCGAAATCTCAACCCTCTTTATGTCGAAATAATCAGTGAGTTCCTACAAGCCACTTCAGTACAAATTTTCCCTCCTTATCTGAAAAAATAAATTGGGCCGCTGTATTTAAAACATTATAGTGGTTAGTCAGAGTCATAGTCATTTATTACATAGAACAATATTACATTGTATTGGAAAATAAATTACACAAAATAAAGAATTATGTTTACATGCAAAATTAACTTAAATAAAACTAAAATCGAATAAAATTTAAATATCATTTGACAATCATTCTACATTTAATACTTTTCATGTCATAATATGTAGATTATAATATATTAAGCAGTACATAAACAAAAAAAAAATAACATTCAAGTTTATTTTTGTCATTTAGGTAATCGTCAACTGAGTAGTAGCTTTTTTTAATTAATAATGATTTGAGTTTATTTTGGAATATGTGGTAATATATAAATAACTTTAAATGAGATAGGCAAAGAATTAAATAGTGCAATGGCTTGATGCCTTGTGCTGTGGCGTACAACATTCAATGTTGGTTTTTAAATCTTTTCGACGTCATTTCTCTCTATTTCCTTTCTTCATTTGTTTCATATTTGTAAATGTTTTTTACTAAGTATGTAAGTGAAACTAAGATATACGGAGAGGGAACCGTAAGTATGCCAATATAATATGATTGATTTTTTTCACCTTTACAACTTGAAACATCATACATATTTGCCGACAATGAACGTCATTTTTTCCTATAAAACAATGCAAGTGTGCAATAAATAGGATTACTAATTCTATTATATTACATTAATAATTTAATTACAGGGTAAAGATTCTCCAGTGGCAGACTCGTACCGGTAAAACATGTAGGAAGTCAATGGATGCAGGTGGCTCAGGACCATGCTTTATCCGTTCACTAATTTATAACCCGACTTATATACACGGTATATAGAATAGTGAAACATTAGCTATTCATAAAACTTATATTCATAATTTATGTTGTATATTTGACCCCATGAATTTTATTTAATGGTTGAAAAATAAGTCCTTTAATATAATCCTAGTCTAAACCTTACAGTTGTGAAACACCTTTGATTTTAGGTGATGCCGCCGTCGGCGCAAGTATAGACGCGGCAGCCTGTATGCTATTAAGGGTTGCCACGAAAATGGAAATATAATAATTTTGCATATTATTTATACTATTTTTTATTTATTTATTTCAATCTAAATATAAAATAAATTCATTAAATTATTTAAACTAAAATTATAAATTT